CAGTGCAGTGATTTGTATGTATTTGCTTAAGCTTCAGGTTTCAGGCTGAGCTGAGTTCGTGTCACTTTCATTAACACGTCGCTGCTGCCGGCCATGTGACTGCAAGGTCATCTCGAGTTACACACCTACACTCTGTGGTTACCAACAGGCTCTGATTCTGAAGGCAAAAAAAATATAGAGCTGCATACGCATGTGAAACTGCTTGAGGTTTTCTTAATTGCTCCATATTTCATGTCACTTTCAGGATAATTTGCTGTTTTTACTGTGGTGGCAAATAGACCCCCTTTTTTTACCACATTTTTAAAGTTTTTTTTTTTTTTTTCTGTAAGACCTTTTCATTTATTTGTATTTAAAATGCAGGATGAAAAAATGTAAAACTTTAAGTGCAACAAAGCTAAGCTGTGTTTTTAGAGGGGCCTTTTCTCTGCAGAGACCTTGTAGCTGCTGTTAGCCATGTTTGCAGGAGATTTATGAACTCTTCACAGCTCACTATATTAAAACACCACTGCCTGCCAATTTGCAGGGTGTTGTAGGTGTCACCTGGAGTGTGAGGTGAGCCCATACTGGTCAATGGCCCCATTATGAACCTAATACATTGAAAAAATCCAAATAAATAACACACACCTTAACCTACATATCCTGAAAATTAGCCTCTTACTGTATAAACTACAAGTTTTTATTGTAAACGTGAACAAGTTATGCAATAATCATAATGTCGTATAAATGTTAAACAAATGGATGTGTTTATTTTTGAATGTTCATGTTTTTCAGTAGCAGTATTTACATGCAGCACATGCAACTTGAAGGCATTTGTAAGGTTGCAGATTGGGTCATATAATAATAATAATAAACTATGACAGTGGAATGAAATGAAACTGTTGATTTTGAATAAAATACAGACATGCAGACAGAAAGAGACCCAAAAAAGCTAAATATACAATCAATGTAGAAATTCAGTTAGCATCTCAGAAAAGGACGTAAATAACATTGTAAGTTATAAGATGTGGCAAAAGATGTCTCGCACAACAACTGAACTTTTTAAACAATTTTTAAATCATTGTGGTCATCATTATTTTACACCTATTCTTCTGGAGACAGCTGAGAGAAAATGGGAATTTGTTGGGATCTGATCTTAGTTAATTAGTGGCACCAGCTGGTTAATTAATCACACCTGGTCAGGTATCAACAATTGGCTCTGTCTGTGAAATAGTCATGTCAGCAGGACTTGAAATATTTGCTACTGTTTTGGGTCACGTCTTTGCGGCCCGGTTCATACATACCTGGTTATTTTTAAAGACTGAGACATTGACCATCGTTTAGACGCAAACTAAGAATTTGCCCCTGAGACAATGGTTTTTATAAACTTCGGCCAAAGTGGAGATTTTGGAAAACTCTGCTTGCACGTTTGCATGTAAATGGAGAAAAACAGAAGTTAACAGAGATTTGGGTCGCTGACAGCAGATTGCGCACCTGAAAGAAGGAAGTGACGTTGTTGTTGCTGCTTTGTGGGATTTTGATTGGCTAACGTGGGCTTGAGCTTTTTTGCTACAGGTTTGGCATGCTCTCATATATACACAGGTTAGTGTAAATGAAAACTCATCTGAAAGCGTAGTGGTGTGCACGCAGTTTTATTTTTTGTACAAAAAGAGAGGGTGAAATGTGGGTTTATGAAAATAGCCAGGCATGTGTAAACGTAGTCTGAATCTATTGCTTTGACCACTTCAGTCCTAACTTAAGAGACTACTTTGCCACTTATATCATCCTGTTCCATTTGTTGTGGCTCTTTAGCTCATTTTAGTTTGTGTGCAGGTACCTCAATTGCCATTTCCCAGTGTTTTCCCTCAGTAATAATAATAATAATAATAATACATTTTATTTAAGCGCCTTTCTGGACACCCAAGGACACTGTACAGGGCATTAAAAACACAGTTTTGGTTTCTCATTCATGGACTGACAGTGTTAGATGTTGGGAGGGTCCATGTGGTCGACTTTAAATGAAATAGCAATAACTTGTGAGGGAACGTGTTCATCAATCACAGCCAACACATCATGAATCTGAGTAATCTCATTCTGCTAAAATATGGTTAGAATTATATACATTTATGTTATTTATTGGTTTGGCTTCAAATACAGTCAGATTCATTAGTCATCTGACAAAATTAGCCTTTCCTTTGAGCTACAGATGGATCCTCTGGTTTCCATCCAGAAAGAAATGCACCTCTCTCCAATGTGTCGGACATTAGAGGTATCATCATCTGTTTATGTATCTACTGACACTATGCAACACAAGGTACCGCCAGAACAAGGAAGAGGTTCAGGTAAAAAAAAAAGGCTGAACAGAGCAGCTCGACAGTAACCATAACAGTTGAATAAAACTCATAAATTGTGCTTTGAGCTGACAGATAAATAAGAGTTCATCATGACGGAACTATGAATGTCTGCATAAAATTTCATTGCAATGTTTGCATCAGTTGTTGAGATACTTCAGCCTGAATTAGCTTGACGACAGACATCCCGGACGTTTCCTGCCAGCAGGACTAAAACAGCTATTTTTCAAAAGTCTTCATATGCATGCTGAGAATGAAAGGATCTGTCTGAAGACTGACTGCATGTGGTTTCCTCATTTCATTTCAAGTGCAGTTATAGGATTTCAGATCTTATAAGAACAAAAGCAGCACCATGATGACAGCCTAACGAAGAAATATGAAGGGATTATTTGTCTTTGTTATTGTCCATCAGTCACAGAGGAGAAACTGGAGCCTCTGCAGGAATGAGACAAAGACACAGACCGTCCCTCCCAGTCTGCTCCTCTAACTTCTGCTGGCATCCCTGGATTTGTCTTTGAACGTAAAATTCAGTAGCATATTTCATTTCAGCTCTGGTAGGTTAGTGTTAGGCATTGAGCTGTCTAATTTAACCCGACAGTCAATTTAGGGGTCATTAGCGATCAGAAAGTTAGCGATTTAGCCCTATTATGTCGATTTCCTTTTGAAGTTGTCGACCCTGATTGCGGATCTGCTCAGTTCAATTAAATCTCACGATATCCAGGTGGCATTTAGAGGAACCAGTGGAAGGTTAGTGCCAGAAAGTGTTACTCCTAAATCTAACACATGAAGGGCGCTCATTTTCATCTGTCACTTCGGGTTTGAAAGTTGCGGCGTCAAATTAAGTTTCATCTCTGCAACAGAATCAAACCCCTCACAGCGACCCAGATCTGCTCCTCATGCGCTCAGATGCTCTTTTATAGAGCTGGTCTCCACAGTAAAACACCAAGGTTCTTGTTTTCAGCCTTTTTAATGAAATGCTGCTATTGTATCAGACCCTGCAGCTGAACCCGTGTTTGATTTGTGAGTTAAAGGAGCAAAGATAATCACAGGGCCTCCGTCTAACACGACCAAAGCACTTTGTGTTTATGGGCTGGTGATGTTAGCCAGTGCAGCAGGCTAAACTGTTTTTAATTTGACCAACAAGGTTTCAGTTAGGCAGCGGGGGGAGAGAGGTAAAAAAACAAGGCAGCAATGAATCAAACTGAAACGTATCGCCACAGGAGCCGCAAGGAGGCCAAATGGAGTCGATTAGCAGTAAAAACTCTGAGTTTCTGAGCTGGGTGGAGGGGGACTGAGGTGTTAAGGTCGGACCATCAGGCGGGTGAGAAATAAAAAATGATGATAGTTAAAGAAACTGAACTTTATTTTAAAGTTTCCTTCATCTATGAACGGCTGAGTTGACTGGTGGTCAATTAGTTGGCTAATATACTGGACCAATCAATATCATTTTGATCTGCTTAATATCAGCGTCAGCCCTTATAAGACTAGTATCATCATTAGCTTTCCTAACATTTCTCCCATCCTAAATGATGGCAAATCAAATCTAAGACTGACTAGTGTTAAATATCAATTCTGTCATGCATCGAATAGTGCACAAACACCAAGCCATGATTTAAAGGCAATGACATTACCCAAATACACTTCTCACCAGTTCATTTAAAATTCCAGCTAACACATGCAACTAGCTAAAATATCCACATTAGATTTCTACACGCCTTTTGTTTTATTCTAGTTGCACCCCAGTATTTACCTTGTTTTTATTTTGCTTCATTTCAGAGGACAGGAAGCCTACATGGCAATGCTTAACTGGGCCAAATATTGTCTCCTCTACATTTAATCATAAATTCAAGTTCAGTGTTTTTCCCCACAGGTTACTTCTGTTCGATTGTTCAACTGTCAAATAGAAAGGGAAAAAAACAGCAACAATTTGACAGCGGCATTATTATCAATCATTGGCCGACCTGCTCTCTCATGCTCCTGTGAGGAACTTTGCATTTGTGTAGACTTTGGCACCCCCTGTGGACAAAGTGGTGACCCTCATAGGCCTGTTTTTGCCCTATCCTTGTAAAAGTGATGTTAATTGATTAAAAAAAAAAAAAAACTCCTCCTCAGTGAAATTTGTCACTCACTATGAATATTTTGGGTGGGAAAACTAAGTCTGTTTCTTCAGTGTACCTACCCCGTTACAGCAGTTACAGGCCTTAAAAATGTCGTTGTCGATGTCATCAGTCTTGTTATCAATAATGTCATTTGCTTCAATATGTTATAAACACATATCCCTGCTCAGTCTGTTTTTTGACCTGCCAAAAATCCTCACAGGTTCTTTAAATACCAAGTGAATATCAACTTTGGCGCCTGCAGGTGGATTTGTCTTCAAATGAGGAATGGTCAGGCACAAAAGTCATAAATACACCAGTCGAGTTATAGTTATTTTGGTGGGAAGGGGCGCTGACCAGTACATTGTTTTCAGCTTGTTTTTTTTATAAAGTCAGACAATAGTATGGGTCTCTCTACATAAATGAGGTCACTTATTCTCAGGGTCTGAGAGTGTTGCTTTAATAAATTAACTCTAGATGGGTTTGCCCGACTATTTCTGATCAGATAACATTTGTAAAAAAAAAAAAAAAAAAAGCCCAGTCATTGTGTTAATTGGGCTATTGTTCTTGATTTAGTCTTAGGCTTTGGACTAAAGTGACAAATAGTAGTGTGCTCTCACTCAGTGGATTTATCAAAGCTGCAGTGACTGGACTAGATAGAAAAACTGAATGTGTTTCGGACAGACAAACTGAGGGTGGTTGATTCTTTAGCTGCCTAGAACTGTTGAGTGAGCGGCCATGTACAGGACCGGAAATACCTTGAATAACTTGACTAATGAGTTATATGTCAAGTGGTTTGAAGCTCTGCCCAGCATTGGCAGGGACAGACAGCAGCCTTGCTCAGGTCATCAACTACAATTTGACAGCAAACCTGCAGCTGCATGGCTTAGTAAGTAGCAAACCTCTTGCCTATATATGGAGGTAACTGTCGAAGAAGTGTGCACTGATCTGTCCCTTCATCCTCGACTATTTCACCAAAGTTGTCTTTGTTTTTGTTGACAGGCAGTCACAAAACAGTGAAAATCATCATGGAAGGAGACATAAGTGGGATTCACGTGACCCAAAGAACACACCAATGAAAAATCAAGTTACAAATCCCTCATCTCTGCATTTTGGGTTTCATATAGAGCCTGCATTGTGCACCCCTGAACAAGCAAAATGTGTCCAACATTTACTCAATGCCATGCACTTAAGATTATGCACTTTAAATCATTCAGATGGAGCCCCTTGTTTGTGTTTTTGGGCGCCTAATGGGGAAAAAGTTTGAATTTGCCTTTCTGTGAAAACATTTACATTAGCGATGCTTATGATGTGCAGTTTTTGTGCAGCTCTGTCTGCCACCACCCGTTTTTACCATTAGGAGTTTGATATCCCTGCTAGTTTCAGGTAATGCTGATATCAGTAATTGTGCATTCCCACTGAAATCAAGCATTTGTCCAAAATTTTCGCAGCACACCTCTATCGGTCACATGTCTAGATCCGAGCATTCTTTTCAATCAAATCAGCACTCCACAATATTTATTTACTCACTTTTTTCTCAAAGTGACTAGTTATGATCTAATGAGAAAGAAAGCTGCCAAAAACCAGCACTCTGGTCCACTCCACTGACGGTTCAGGAAACTGAGGTTTAAGGGAGACAGGGATCCTCCTGTTCCAGCTGCAGCTGCTCGGCCCAGAGCAGTTTAACTTTATTTGGGTTAAAGTTTCCCCCATCTATCAATGCCATTTACCAGATTTCTTTGTTATGAATGAATCTCTTCTGTTCTCTTTTTGTTTGGTTGGCTCCAGGGTCCATGACGGAAAACAGAGAAATTCACTTTGTAGTTTTTCCCCTTTTGTCAATGATTTATGCAATTAAACCAAGACATAAAAGGGCAAAACAAGTTTGGCTTTAATTTCATCCTTCAGAAAACCATGTTTAAATATCACTTTTCACTTCTTAACATCTCCAGGTGAGCCCCCAGTGACCTCAACCTGAGAGCTGTGGCCAAGTGTGTCTAAATGTAAAGTGACGTCTCAATCTATAACAAAGATACCAGCAGTAATGGTTAACATGCTTCCATTTCTCTGCGTTTAGTGTAAGAAATGGTCCCTAAATTGGACACTCATCTACTATTTAAGTCTCATTGTGTGATGAACTTAACCTCCAATGAAGTGGCATACCACAGAGAAAGACTGTGCAGCAAAGTGTGAAATAAGACATCACAGAAAAATGACTCAACCTCAACTATTCAGGGCTGAATTAATGTTTGACAAAGTAGTCAGAGCTAACATCTGCTGCTGTAATTAGATTAAACTCATCCCATTCATACTGGCGGAGACGAGGGGCAGCACGGTCTCTGCAGTGAGAGGTCTGCATGTTAAAAAATCTGAAGGCTACATTTTTTGTGTAAAGAAAGGAGCAGACATAATCCTCTCTGACTGGAGCCTTCAGGCAGACTTCACTTTGTTTCTCCATAATCAGCAACAATGCTGCAAAAACAACGGGAAAGTGAGGGAACCAAAAAAGCTTCATGAGACGGTGAAATGCAAGAATGGATCATGTAATTAGATCAGTTCATGGGGCACCACTGCAACTTAGCCAATCAGAAAACCCATAATACTTTTTCTAACTTGCTTTTTTTGTCAAGAATTTCGTAAGAATGTCAGATATGAAGTTCAAGTTAAGACTCATTTCAGCTATTCATCTCATACGCATACTGATACAAAGATGTAAAGTTCTGTCTGCACTTTCCAAACATTTTGTCTGTTTTTCTTCACATTTGCTGGGTGGTTTCTGATCATGTGCAGCAGCACCTGAAATTGTGAAGTAATTTGCAAAGTGTTTGACTTTCAAAAAGTTTCACCCTTGTACTGATGCATCTCAATAACCTCTGAATGGAAACTCCATAGTAAAAGGAAATTATCAGCAGAGAGGTGTTTTTTTTCCCCCTTTAAAGGATATTCTGACGTAAACTTAAGTCATGGTCAAACACACCGTAACACCGAGTTAGACACCACCTCCAGAGATGAATGTTGCTGGCTGCTTGCTTCTCTAGTTATACCAACTTTAGTAATGACCACAAGATAGCAATACACAGCGGACTGTGGAGCCATAAACAAACCTCAACCAAAGAGCCACTCTATAGCCACCAATAATGCTCAGAACAGCACCTAACTTTATCAGCAGTACATATAGGGTCCCAGCTATAGTACTAGCCACCAAACATCTTTTTAGCTTTGCCTGATTTTTTTAGCAAAGAGACTAAACACAACTCACCTACTCTTGTCTAGCAGCTGCTTGTTTGTGAGCCCTGACGAGTCGATCACCGAGTGCAGCAGATAATTTCCATGAAGTAATGGTAGTTATTCTGCCTTAGCGTCTCAGTCTGATTGTCATGAATGTTCTTCCTTGAGCTGTGAAACTCGTCAGGGCTCCCCCACAAACAAGTGGTTGCTGGAGGAGAGTTATCCATTTTAATAGTGTGTGTGTGTGTGTGTGTGTGTGTGTGTGTGTGTGTGTGTGTGTGTGTGTGTGTGCCTGTGTGTGTGTGTGTGTTTTAAAGTATACCAACACCTCTAAAAAAATTTACATAATGTTATAGAAAAACTACGAAAAGTGGCAACACCAAACATCATCAGACAGTTGCAGTTATTAACGAGTGGAGGTAAATTACCAACCATGTCTGTTGGCTTACTGCAGGCACATCTGACCTCAGTCATTTTACCTGGAAATGCAAAGCCCTTTTCTGCTAAGAATCGACACTGAGGAGTCAAACTACCACCCTACAAGATGTATTAAGTAAGAAATGCATCACAATATACTTTAAATGCACAATCTGGCCAAGAAAAACTGTAAAATAAAATGAAATATTAGTTATGGTGGCATTATTGGTTGGTGTGTAGACACAGCTCACTTCTAAGATTAAAAAGAAAAAAAAGTATGAAAACATCAATTTATACGACATCCATTAGTTTCAGGATAAGTAAAAGCGCCTTGATATTTTAATGCCGTGATCCTTTAATTCTGTTGTGCTTCGGTTCTTACCCTCCTTCCTGTTATCCTACCTCTGAGGTGTTTTCAGGAGCTGGCAGTTAGCGAGCTTAGCTTGGCACAAAGCCATGAAACAAATATCCAGCCCGGCACCATCCCAAAGAAATAAAACTCTGGCACCTCCAAACTCACCAATTAACACATCATGCCGTTTCTGTTTACTCTGTGCAAAACAGGCATATTTAAAGCTCAGCTAAACTGAGATTAATGTCTCAGATTTATAATCACCCCTTAGAGCTCAGAGATGAGAGCTATTTTATATCTAACTGTAAGCACAGAAAAGCAGAATGTCAAATATTTTACAGACTCTTTATTCAGTCCTTTTGGAGAGCATTATCAGTCACTGGAAAATACACCCTGCGCATTCAACCAAATAATATCATGTTCACGCTTCAGCTTCTTCCTCTCTAGTGCTGAAAGGTGATATCAAGAACTAACTCATGAAGCTGCATGTGGTACACATTCTTCAACCTACTTTTCTCCTATTAATGACTGATATTTCTGCTCTCAGAGAGTGGAAACTGAATATCATCCAGTTGATGTGACAGAGCCGTAAAGTGTGATTTATGTTTCAAAGGTCTAATTGGCAGCATTTCCTCTGTCTCGAGGCTGCAGCAGTCAGATATTTGACATATCTGAAAACCTTGGGAGATATATACTTGGCCTTAAACGGCGCTGGCTGGTCTCAGATAATTTATCTTTGTCTTGAGCTCCCACTGAAAAAAGAGCAAGCCTGCTTCTGTGGCTAACTGTATTTCTCTTTGGAAATATCGATTTACGCAGTTCAGCAGAACAATGTCTTGACGGAAATTTTTTAACGGAGAAAAAGAAAACAATAAAAAGGTTATAGATGCAGGCGGTTTAGGAACAGCTCGTATAACTTTACTCCAAACTATATTTTTTCCAGCCTTTTTATATAAAATCAAAATATATTATGCTATAAAATGTCACGCACTGTAATTGGAGACAGGCAGCAATCATTCCCGGGGACATTTTTAATAGAAGAAGTCCACACAAACTGCAGATTTCATCTTTCCTGTTGCTCTGTGGCTCCAATTCTTGTGGTTCTCAAATGTCTTAACAACTGTAATTTGCCACAGACATCCCTCCTCTTCTGTTATCTTTTAGCCTTTCTTGCAGCAACATTGAATTCCTGTTTGTCAAATACTTTGGCTATAGTGAACAAACTTAGAATAATGCCTCAAACCGCTGCTGTGTTCTATGTTCAACAAGAAAATATAAGCTCTCTTGCACTGTATCCTTTTAAAATAGAAAAGCCTGTAAAATACCAGCAGGTTAGCAATGAGAGTATGTTAGCAGCAGAAGTCTCATAGAAATGTTTGCACCATTTTAAAGTCCAAGCACAAGTGAAATCATTAGCATGAATAAATAACATGTTAAGTCAATGCAAAGACGCAATAAGACACTCATACCATTCTGGCGGCGCAAATTCAGCAGGCGCAAATCCGCGAGAGTTGAAATATCTCAACTTGCACCAATATTTGCAATGCAATAACCAATCAGCATGAAGATTCCTGGGTGATATATGAAAATGGACCAGAAGATATTCACTTGTGTGAAAATATATACACAAATCCTTTTACTCACAGTGGACAGATGGACAGGAGCTCTGCATATAAGGATAGAGCGCCTGCAATTGGTATTCTGAAGGGATATCCTGGCACCGACCCTTTCCAACAAGTCATCAAATTGGGTTCGGGTAACCCGAAAGTACTGCTGAAAACAGCCGTCATCCTGGCGCAGCTATTGGAGGAGACCCAGACAAGGCGATGCCTATGGTTGTGGGCCTCCACAACAAAAATAAAGCAGCAATCTCACGCTTAATGGAGACTCTCCCCCTCTCTCATATCCACAGCTTTTTTAACAAACAAGAATAAAAAAGGAGCTCATCTGAAGGAAAGTGAGAGAAGAGGTTGGATTATCTGATAAATTGTAAAAAACCATTGTCTATCACTTGACCCTGCCAGTTGAATTGGCAAGGATCACTGTTGAAATTAGCATAAACAGTTATTCAGGGCCTTAAAGCACTCAGTTGACGTACAAAACATTCGGACACTACGAATGAAGCGAGTAAATACTTCTCATTCACGCATCTAGACACACACGAATTAGAGTAGATGATATTACTTGCGCTTGGTGTGAACGCCCCATTAGTCTTTATAAGTAAATATTCATCATGTCTTATCAATTTGCATTCAGAACTTAGCTTTGGTATCATTTCTAGCCTTTCCAGCCCTTTATAACATCAAGACTTGGGTCTGCATTTGATTGAGAACGATGTTGATTAATCTTGAGCCTGGCTCGTTCATAGTTAAGACTGCTACAGCCTCATGCTTATTCTGTCGCTTGGCTTTTCGGACACACCAATCTGCCTCCTCTTGCTCCTCTCCCTGTCCCCCTCTCTCCACCTGCTGTAGCACATCTTTGTGTTCCCAAACCAAAATCTGAGCGAAGAATGAAGAGAAAGTGAGAGCTGTTGAGGGGAGGGGCCATGCACAAGGTGAAAAGGGGGAAATGTAGTAAGTCAGCAATTTCCAATATGGTGCCACCATCTTTAGTCTTCTTTTGCGCCTTTCCAGTAACCAGTAAATGATGGCGCTGAGACTACAGACATCCATGTTTTACACACATGAGAGTTAATGCTCCTGTGTAAAACAATGCTTCGAATTTCCCATCTACTCTGACTTTCATTTCTTTGTGATCAAAGGTTGTGTGACAAAGTTACAGCGCTATAAAATGCAATATTTGCATTTTAAGTTCCATTTCAATGATTTACACTTCCCATTGATCTGTTTCCACACTGCTCAGTTTTATGGACTCTCTCAGTCATTATGAACCACATTTCCCTCCTGAGTGACCTCCTGTAAACAGCATTGCGCTTAATTCATTGAAAGCTGTAACTTTTGCAGCCCTAATCCAAATTATTCACAGTTCTGTCACTGCTGTGTTATGCAAACATGCAGCACATGTCAGCTCCATAAATCTTAATGCAGTGTCTGGATTGGGGAATTATCTGAACACAGAGAGAAAACAAGCAAAGCCTTTTAGCTGTTGAGGCAATATTGATTTGATTTGCTTTCTGTACAAGAAATTCATTGATGCACGCTGTCTTCTCCGGAGAGTGATATTAGTTTCCCTCAGGAGGGATGGATCCTGTCCGAGCCAGGCGTAAAGAATTGGCTCCAGACGCAGCAGCAGCGTGGGCCCCTTCGTGAATGTATAACATGTTATTAAAGCAGAGAAAGTTGTTACAGGACTGTTTCTCTTGATGGTTACCCAAAGCTATCCAGTTCTGTGGTCACAGGAAGAGCATTTATTTCTCGCGTTTCTCTGAGCAGTGAGGCAGCTGACGACACTAAACCCTCGTCTCGCTTTCTACGCTCGCTTGCTCGTTCTATTCAGTTTCACTCTCTAGAAACTGCCAGCTCAGCTACTCTCATTTTATAAAACCCACAGTTTCACTCCAAGAACAGTTTGTTCTGCAAGAACCAGCCAGAGGGAATGTTTTTTTTTCGACTGAAACTTCTCATGCATGCTTGAAAAAATCTGAATAATTGATCAGTCTGGGAAAATGCCTTTTGTTGTGGGAAGATTTTAGTGAGAAGCTGCTTTCGTTTTACTGTTATTGAACTACACTACCCAGAAATCACAGTATGAAGTTAATGTGAGGTCTCTGTAGGCTACTAATGCTTATAGTAAAAGAAATGTTGTTTTACCAAATGCTGGGTTAGGGTTAGTATTAAATTATGTTTAATATTACAAAAAGACAAATGCTTAGCACATTATAAAGAAGAAAAGTGACCACTATATGTAAAAACAGAAATAAAGTAAACCAAATAAAAGTGAGAAAAAAACAAGGTACAGGTAAAGCTAAAGCACAAAGACAGGTCACTTTTGAAAATGTATATTTTGATGAATCCACTGGTTTAAAGATTTAAAAAGAAAAAAAAAACACTCAGAAATCAATCGAGATTAAGCTCAGTTTAATAAAAACAGCTATACATGACATTTCGGAGTCTGCGCATAAATCATATCATTGTTTTTAGCAGAGCAAGCATCAGCCTTCAGTCTTCATTTGTGTACTTGATTAACCAAACACAAATCAAGGTGACAGGAAATATAAGCGAAAAACATATTCTGTTGTCAAAACTTTCAGATTGTCACTAAACAGAATGAAATCACTAGTGATACCTCGTGTGATCATTAGCAACTGGACAGACAGTTTGCGTTATGTCATTTTTTATTCCTGTTACCACAATAAAAGAGTAGGTATAAAACAGAGATGACTTTTAAAAAAACTGTTGCCATGCAAAAAAAACAAAAAAAAAAAAAAGAATGACATAAAAAAAAAACCTCACATATACAAAGAATATGATTAGCAAAAAAATACACAGTAACAGTTTGTCCAAAGTCAAAACATGGAAAGTTCCTTAGATTTAAATGCACTCTTGAGGTTTGTCTCTTTACAATGCTCATCCTCACAGACGCTGCAAGATCCTGCACACATGGAAACAAAACTGTACATTCCTGCAAATACTACAGTTCTTTCATACACACACATACAAAGAAAAAAGTATTAATGAGGTATTAATGACTTTTTTACTTGGTGTCATTTTGTTTACTTTTTCTTCTTTTATGTCAGTGTCATGTTTTGTACAAAACACAGTTTCTTTAACAGGTAAACTTTCTGCATTTTTAATATATTCCGTTATTATGTGAAAATCCTGAAGTACTTTCAGACAACAGATCCTCAAACTGGCCTGAAGCTGTTTCTTAGTCTCCAGCTCATCATTGTTTTCCAGCAGCTTTCTAACACTTAACACATTTTAATATGTGTTTTTATCTTGCTTTTACCCCATAGGGGTTCTTCAGCCATCTGATTGTCTTTTAAATGCAGATTATGCTTGTTTTTAATTGTTTTAAATGCAATATTAAAAACTTCACAATGGTCTGTTTTGTGCATTTCTTTGCCCCTGGTGAGCACTTTGCCTTGTGCAGATGCTTTGTGTCTGCAGAATGTTTTATAAATGAATCTGCTTTGTCTTGCATATGTCGTATTTTCTTTAAATCTTTCTATATATGAGTTTCATACTCCAGGGGATGATTCTTATGAACAAATCACATGTATGTAAGCAAACATAATGTGCTGGGAAGTTCAGTGTGTCTCAGTCACCTGTGGTATGACCTGCATTTTTCCAGACATGCAAAGAACAGCTAAGCGTCCTGGCTGAGAAACTGATGCATCTGTGGGACAGGAAGTTTTTCCCAGCCTGATAAGAAAGTTCCCTGAGTTTAATCAGTACAACGGTGGAGCTATAAGAGCGCTGAGCTGAGCTACGAGAGTGTTTCTGTGTTTACAGGCCGACACCATGTTGCAGACTCTGGTCCTCCTGCTGCTGCTGCAGCTAGCATACGGTTGGTAGTGGGTGTTAACTGCAGACATTAAAAAGCAAAAGGATCATGCTGTTAATATATTTATGCTAATGTGTTTGTAGTCTTCGGGTGTGGTACCCCTGCTGTCAAACCTGACATCGGCAGGGTGGTGAACGGTGAAGATGCTCGCCCCAACAGCTGGCCCTGGCAGGTACTCTAATCTTCATGCAGATGCTGTTTTCTTAATTTGGAAACATGTTTTAATGATTCTTGTGTCTGTTCTCAGATCTCCCTGCAGGTGAAGCACGGCAGCCGTTTCCATCACACCTGTGGAGGGACTCTGATCGCACCTCGCTGGGTGCTGACTGCAGGACACTGCATCTGGTGACCAACTCTGAATGAAATACTCTTTCCTAAGCGTGTGCATACTGTTTTGACAGGGTTAAAAGAAGAGTATCCAAGCATATTTATAGACTTAAAAGAGAGTGTGTGTGCATAAAGTGCATTAATAACATGAGTGTGTTGCAGGCCCAGCACTACGCACCGAGTAGTTTTGGGAGAGCACAGCATGAGCCAGCAGGAGGGCACCGAGCAGATCAGAGATGTTCTGCGTATCGTTGTGCACCCACAGTGGGACATTGACTTCATCTCTCATGGGTGAGTTCATTTCAGGTTGCAAATAACTAATTTTGCTAAGTACTAAAAATCAATGAAAAACACCAAACTTTCTGTGTAATTGACCTCTTTTTGGGAAGTATATCCAGTGACTTACTCATATGTTTAACTCTCATGGTTTCCTCTCAGAAACGACCTGGCCCTTCTGAAGCTGGATAAAGCTCCCATCATGACTGACAGTGTGAGTGTTGCCTGTCTTCCAGAGGCTGGAGAGATCCCTGCACACGGACAGCCATGTTACATCTCCGGTTGGGGAAACCTTTACTGTGAGTTCAGCATTGTGATGTCTCCTGCCATGGTTTTATTAATCTTACATATCCCTTTATTGTGTTTGTGCTGATTTGCATTCATTTTCTGTTTATTAATATCCCTGCATGCTTGTTCATGGTAAATTTTTTCAATATTTCATGCTGATGTCTCACATCATCAAACCCTGACTTCAAACAGACTTTTTTGTAGATGCAGAAAAGGGAAAAACAGCTAAGGCCAATGCTGTTTGTATTTAGATATGCTGAAAATCTCAGAATTTTCAGATGTTTTTTAAAAGTTTTTTGCATGCGTGCACACGGCCTGTTTACCCTCCTTTACTCTGACTGCAGCAGACCACAGCAAGAATCTGTTGGTTGTCACGTACACCACAATCCCAAGGTACTTTTACTCTTCATGAGTTTTTTGCATTTTGAAGTTTGTAACTTATTTATATTTTTGTTTTATTGACAAGTTCAGTATCTGTTAGATTTCATTTACACACTCACACACACACAAAATAAATATATAAAAATGACACATGCCAGTTTATTTTAGAACTTTGCATGGCACTCTGAATAAAATACAAATTAAGCATAATTGTCATGAGCTGCAAATCCGTTGAGATGAATAATTTGAGTCACAAGTAACATTTTTATCTCACCCAGCTATCCTGTATCCCTGCCCAGATCTTGGTGGAGTTTGTGGTTTTGTTGCTTCACATCTGTTTTCTTGTCTTTTTTTACTCACTTCCTTGTATACTTATTGCTGCTTTGAGGAACTTTTGTATCAGTTTTGGTGCCCCCTGTTGACAAAGTGATACTCTTTTTTTTTTAGACTCTGACCCCTTCCTACCTGAAGATGGATCAGTATCAGATTTAGACAGTTTCTCAGCCAGTTAAAACTTCTCACAGCGTGTTTAAATATCACGTACTTGTTTCATGCTTATTTCCTTCCTCTGCTGGTGATTAACAACCAATCTGCTAATGGAGCTTTGCAGCTAACCCCAACCCTAACACTGTTATCACATAAAATGTTCACTATAGATGTGACATTTGACCAGCAGGATGAGATTTATCGTTTTTTCAAAGTCATCACTAAACCAAAGATTTCTCACAGGAGTTTAGATACTGCCAGTTCATGAGCAAAAGAGTTGGGACACAAAAAGTGGATGAAGCCCTTTGATTTTTTTAGAAATACTGAAGACTTTTTTCCTGCATTTGAACTAATGACCAGCAGGGGGAGACACTAATGGTTGCTAAAAAGAAAAAGATCTGTTAAAGGAGGTTAGACAATAACTAAACCCCTTACTTGATTTGTATCTTGCTAACCTTTTCCCCCAGGTGTTTGTGAGCTTAGTGTCGCCATCTGTGATCGTCATGTTGCAACCACAGAGATCTGCTGAGTAGAAAGAAAACCCCTCCAGTCTAAATAGGATCATTTTTAACTGAATAAAAAGTGCCAAAGTTAGTGTCTGAAAATGTCACTGGGTGGCGTCAAAGTCAGTCTTTGGGAGCTTCTCCAGTTGGTTAAATACGATGAGTTTTCTCCCTTTTGTATATGATGTTTGCATGCATGTCTGAGCTGCTCTGTCCTCGCTATCTCAGCTCATGGCCCCATGCCTGATAAGCTGCAGCAGGCCCTGCTGCCCGTGGTGGGACACAGTGTCTGCAGCCAAAGCGACTGGTGGGGAGGCAATGTGAAGGAAACCATGGTCTGTGCAGGAGGAGACGTCGTGTCTGGATGCAATGTGTGTGATAAAACAGCTTGTACTTTTCAGACATGAAAAACCTGCAGTGAGAGTGTGTGGTTACTTTAAACTGTCACTGTGTGTCTCTCAGGGGGACTCTGGCGGTCCTCTGAACTGTCAGGGTCAGGATGGTAGGTGGTATGTCCAGGGTGTGACCAGCTTCGTCTCTGCTAGAAACTGCAATGAGGTGAAGAAGCCCACTGTGTTTACCCGCACCTCTGCCTTCACCGACTGGCTGAGTCAGGTGAGGCCTTCACTAAACTCCCTGCATGTATCTCTAAGAAATAAAGCACTTCATGTGTTAATAAGTATTTTTTTTCTCTTTAGGTCATGCTGAAATACTAAAGATCTTCTCCACACCAGCTGATCGACTCTGAGGAATAATGAGCTGCAGAGTTTCTCTGATCATGTTCAAATTATCTGCTGAACTGGAACAAAACCTCCACCATCACCACAAAAAATTCAAGTCAAAAAAGCTGCAAAACATCTGAATAATTGTCATAAAGAAGATTAAATCTTTGTGTGCCTTTGCCAGTTTGCTTCTATTATTTAAAGATGTTTGATACAATCTCATAATCAGCAGACATGGAAAGTTTTAAATACTTTTATTTTTTCAGTTTTCTGGTTTAATAAAAAAAGTTTCACTAAAACCATCCAGCCAAAACATTCTGACATATCAGAAAAGTGTTTTTGATATTATAATATATTATCATTATCTACTACTTTTACAGCATGAACTAAATTCATCAGTTTAAAGCTCCAGTGAGAAACTTTCTGTTTATGTTAACTTTGGCGCCCCCTGTGGATGAGGCAGTCTTTGTTTATCTGGACTTCTATACACCTTAGCTGAGTCTTTTGACAACACTTAGCTAAGGCTCATCCTGCAGACTTTTGACAGTCAAATTTGCCATTTATCATGAGTAGTTTATGCAGAAACTGTAATCAGAGTCATATCAGGCTGAGCTTAGTTGAAAATATCAAAAAGGGTCCACCTGGGTAGAGAATCAAACCAGGTTTGTTTTCACATCTTGTGAGCTGTGAGAGAAAGTGTCGCAGCTCTGTCTGGCTGCACAGCGCCTCTTCATATTCTTCCCCCCCGCTGTGTGATAAGATGAGTGAGAAACGGCTGCCCATCAGCGAGTGTAGAGGACTTATGAATCAGCGTCTTCTATCCATCATTACCAAGGTCGATGGAGCGTCTGCACGTCAGTCTGACACAGACAGGTGGAGCTGAGCCGGAGGGCAGCAGCTCCTCATCAGACAGACCGCAGTCGGAGGTTACCTTGATGCACGACCTCAGCAAACTCTGCATCAGATTACGGCTGCAAACTGAAGCACTTTGACAAATACACGTCCAGTTTGAGACAAAAGACTGAACTATTTTCAGCAAAGTCATAATTCACTGTAAGGAAGATGCAAATCGGTTTGAAAATCAGTCATTTCTGAAGGAGTCATATTCAGAGTGAGCAATGCAACAAGAAGATCTATTGAAGTGAAGCAAAGTCAGGAAAGTTAATCAATGCAGCACATTCAAACAAAAAGGCAATTCAGTGTGCTCTATACACAATTCATGACCAAGAAAAAAGCTACATAAAAATCCCAAAAGAGTGTTTTAAAATGATTAAATCAAATCCTTCAAAGAAGAAAAAATCTGATCAAATGAAAGCTGTAAATGTAAAAAAACAATAATCTGATTGAAGGCAGCTGCAAACAGGTGAGTATTCAGCCTGCGAACCCATAGAGAATCTAAGCAGACTTGCTGTTTTCTAGAAGTTTAGTGTAGCATAAAAACTGAACAGCACTTTTTCATACTTGGTTTAGACTCCGAGGACTTAAAGCAGACCTGTCCCAGACCACCTGAGTGATCTTCACAGTTCAAAGACTTAAATGTACTTAGAACTGAAACCATTAAGTGCTTTTCAAACTAAAAAGTAGTATTCGAAATTAATTCACATATGAGCTGGTGTTAAGATTAACTGAGAGCATTAAAAATTTAGATAAATTCTTATCATTTTTTATTTATTTAGTCATTTTAATTTTGATTTTTAACAATGGCGCCATTTTGTTTTGGGATTTAAATGTCTCAAATCCCTTACAGACATGGACAAAGTTCCTGAAAAGTTCCCAAAAGTACCCTGTGAATGATCTGTATGTGTGTTCAAGTTTTCAGGGCAAAAACTGGGATAGGTTTACCGTGAGACTAAGGCAGCAGGTTGGCATGAAACTTTTACTTGAGAAGTTAGGAAAGGAATACTTCAGTGTTTCTATATCCTCCCAGTACTGAACCACTTTATTTCACTTTATTTCACTCTCTGCATCTGTAGTGTCAGAGATGAAAGAGTGTGTTTTAATCCTCTATTCTAATTTTCAGACATAAAGGATCACTGTACAAAACTGGACCTCTATGTTTGAAAGGCTTAAAGCAGCTGCTCCTGAACATCAAGAACGAAGAACATTATTCCTCTTTCCTGCAAATTAAATGTTAAAACTGTGGGAAACTGAAAAAGTTTAACCCATGACACAAACACAAAGCCTGTGATTTTTATCTGTCCCCATCTGCTGGTTCATGTGTGAACGTGCTCAACGTTGACAGCATCACAGCAGCTCCATCCAGTGGACGGAGACAAAGACAGAGAGAGCAAACTGGAGCCATGACTGCTGGGTCTGAAACACAAGCAAGAGATGTGTTAGCTCTAAGAAATGATTGACAATATCTCCATTCATGATTTAAACAGTGGTGGCTTTAACTCTGTCCTTATTCTCATTACTGTCACAGTTTCAGTTTGATTTACATGGTCATCAATATCTAGATATTCAGACTTCATCTAATGTTCTAAGAACAGTATTCATAAGTGTGTTTATATCCTGGTGAGGAGTGTAAAACCACCTGGATATTGTGTTTTTGTGAACCTGGAACAAATTTTTCACATCTGCAAACCCCAATTCTTATAAAGTTGTGTAAAACATGAATAAAAACAAAATACAATGATTTGCAAATCCTTTCCCACCTTTAGTGAGTTCAGTACACTACAAAGTCAAGTTATTCAATGTTCAAACTGATAAACTTGATTGTTTTAGTTAGTTTTTTTTTTGCTGCTTACATGCAGAGATTTCTCTAGATTTTCAGAATCTTTTAATGATATTATGGACTGTGGGTGATGAAATCCCCAAATTCATGCTGTTGAACAGAAGAAACATTGTCCTTAAACTGTTGGACTGTTTGCTCACACAGTTGTTGACAAAGTGGTGAACCTCACCTTATCTTTGCATGTGAACTGCTGAGTTTTTTGAGGATACTTTACTCTTTCTGAACATTTTTTTAAAGTGATACTGGCAGTAAAATTGAAATGAGTGAATATTTGCAAAATTCAATAAAGTTAATCAGTTTGAACATCAAACAGTCCTCAATTTTATTCATGCAACGCCTCTTCTCTCTTCCTCTGATAAACTGATTTTAAACCGGTGCTCTGCAGTCTCTGTGGATGACTTTGTGTCCAGGTGGAGGCAGCAGGGTCACACTCAGCTCTGCAAAAGCATTTAAGGAAACACAGACACACCGAAACAAAACACAGAGGAGTGTTATCAAACATTCTGTTTCCTACATGACTAACCACACTTTACAATTACTGTCTTGACTCTACAGTAATTTCATCTTCCTTGTCTAGTTCTCTTTTTACTTCCTGCTTCCTATTTTCTTTCATTTCTTGTCACTGTAATCTCAAACACTGCATCAGCATGTGCCACTATCTCTGATGGAAGTACCATTACAGCAGCTGTTGTACCCAACATCGTTAACTGTCCTTGTTTTGTTTTTTTTCCTTTGTGATTTATAGTAAAAAGCTTTATCATCAGTTCTCACACTATAACCCACAAACGTTACAGGATAACTTCTAAACTTGAAGCTACACTAGATACCAAACTTTTAGATTAACTTCTATAGGTAAAAAAACACCTGTATTGAAAATTGAAAACAAACTTCTTTCTGTAACTCAGGTTTATAAGGCTGTTTCGTACCTTTAATCAACTGTAGTAACTGTTAACAGTCCTCTGTTTTGAGTTGTGCGAACCAACCATGCCTGTAATTTCCAAAATAAAAACTCCAGGACAAATCACTTACCATATTTTAAGGCACATAAAAGTCCACTAATAATATTAATCACGTCCAAACGACATCTCTGTAATTAAGTTTTTAAATGAGGTTTCTGAGACTGTTCTGCAAAAAATGACATGGGCTGTGTTGGACAGAGCAAACTGAGGTTTTGACAGCAGTTTAGGATCTAATTTAGCTGCATCATTTCACACATCATTACACAGCAGGGTGACTTGTTCACAGAAAGAGCAAATTAAACTCCACCAAAAGGTCCTGAAGAGCGATTAGACTGATGAAATGCTTTGCTGCATGATGTGAGGAACATTTTGTGTCTTTCAAACAGGTTTGAGGCTTTGGTGATGCTAAAGGTGTGTGCGCATTCAAGCAAAATGTGAGGCGCACCACAATCCATTTTTGCACAACTGAAAAAAAGGTGCAGTTTGTTGTTTCTAGACAACCAGTTTATCACCCGTGGAGACTTCAAATCAGTGTCTGTGATTATTGTAAACAGAGGGAGTTATGTCAAGGGTTGGGCTCAATATAAACTGCTTTATCATGCGGTAGCTCATAAACTTTATCTGAAGTAAAGTTATAAACTTTATATTTCATGCTCATCTTTGTAATGCAGCTGGCACAGATGGGTGGATCTTGCAGGACCTCTGCACTTACACTTAGAAATGTATGTAAATTTGACTAAATACAGACTTTCCTTATTTTAAATGTGCCACACTAAACTCTGACATCAGGGGGTCATTCACAAACTACTAGAGGTCTCAAGGTAATACTGATCCTGTTTGAATAGCACTTTAGAGTTAAACCACCAAAAAGCAACATACTGTGAAGTGAATTTAAATAAAAAATAGTCTCTGCTTAATTTTTTGTTAATTACTCCAGGAAATAGAAACACAAATGGTATAAATATTTTGCACCTGCTCATGAAAATACTAGGAGATTAAAACGAAAATAAAATAAATTGATTATAAAAGAATCAATAATAACAAGTACACTAAGACAAACAAAACAAACTCGCATGCACATCTACTTTGATTTATCTATTTTAAATATATTGTGTGTAAAGTGACCAGACCTAATGTTTTAGTTCAATCAGTACAAGGCTGTGTTAGTTTAGTGGTCCAACAATTTATTACACTACATTACATAACATGAAGGATAATGTATGAAGAATGGGTTGTTATGCAAGTTAGAAACCTATCAAAGTGAGAAAGAGAGGTTTCACTCGCCTTGAAACCAACACTTAAAATGTAGTTGTTTTTTTAAGCTACCAGCAGTTTCTGCCATGCCCCCTTTTGGAAGGATGAAAAAGTTTTGTGCCGCTGGCCTGTTTGTAAAAATAAATTACAAACAGGACCCCTTAATGAAATACTGGCAAGGTGGTGAACAATCATTCCTTTTTATGGTCATTTCAAAATGTCTGTCTCTAACAAATCCATTTTTTGTAGAATTTTCCTTCAGATCACTGCAGTGTTTCTAACTGTGCACATAAAAAAAAAAACTGAGAAAACTTTAAAAAGATTGCATCAATCTGCAACTTTAAACCATCCA